ACTACTACAGTGCTTGGGGTCATACCCACAATAAACACTATCTTATTTGTCCTCCTGCTCAGGCTAAAAGATCTGGGTTCTCAGGTCAGTTCCAGTAGAGAAACCACCTGGCGCTATTGTGTAAATGTGGTGTCTACAGAGAAGCGATTCTAGAGATCAAGGAAAGAGAGCCTCCTTGATCTCCTTGAAACAGCCTTAGGGAAGGGAACTGACATTTATCAAATAACCTGTTCTGTGCCTCAGAGAAGGTAGGCTGCTCACCCAAGATAACACATCTTGTTAAATGACAGGATTTAAGCCTGTGCCCTTTTTACTGTAGGTCAGATAATTTCTTCTTGTGGGTGCTGTTCTGTGCATTGTGAAATGTTTAGCACCATCCCCGGCCTTACCCACAAGATGCCGACAGCAATACCCCCTCCCCCTCCCGCAGTTGTGTCAACCACAAATACCTGCAGACGTTGCCAGATGTCTTCTGGAGGACAGTCACCCTTGTTGAGAGCCATTGGACCACACTGTACTGTTTGTTATAGCACACTAGTGCCCCGTGCACGGATTCATGCACATTGAAAGGCTATTAATTAGAAGGTGGCCGGCTGGGCGGGACTGGGCGAGATGGGCCAGACACGCCCTGGAGCCAGCCTCCCACAGTCCCTTCATGGCCGGCTGCACTTGGGGTGGCCCAGTGACTCGAAGGGCATCTGCAGAATGAGCAGGATCCCTCTGGCAGGTGGGGTCCCTTGGCTTTTCCTGAGGGAATCATGCTGAAACCGGCTCTCTGACACCCCCCCAAGGGGTCCTGGATTGTGAGCGGGCGGTTCTTGGGTGATGCACCCGGAATCAGGCTCCCTCCTCTCTGGTTCCGGGGTTTGTCACCCGAGAACTGCTGCTGCCAAGTCACTGCAGCTCGGCAGCTCCTGCGTTGAGTGTCTGCCCCCCTGGTGGTCAGTGTGCATCATAGCTACTGGTCAGACGGTCGCTTAGCCTTTTATATATATAGATTACTTCTTGCTTATTATAAATATGATTAACTTCTGAAAACATACATTTAATGCTTTATTATACCAGTTTTCAGAGTTTATTGATAATCGCAGCTGTCAGTGTAGAAAATGCTGGAATACCATCTGCCAAAACTGGGTAATACATTTGTTGGCTAATGAAATGTCCTGTTTCTCCTTTCTGATGTTATTTTTTTGGTCTTCTTTCATGCAGATCTACGAAGGATTCCTCCTGTTTTACGGTAGTTCTCAACAATCTCCGAGTGTTTCTCACTTCTTATTAAAAATATGATTAACTTCTGAAAACATACATTTAATGTTTTATTATACCAGTTTTCAGAGTTTATTGATATAGCTGTCAGTGTAGAAAATGCTGGAATACCATCTGCCAAAACTGGGTAATACATTTGTTGGCTAATGAAATGTCCTGTTTCTCCTTTCTGATGTTATTTTTTTGGTCTTCTTTCATGCAGATCTACGAAGGATTCCTCCTGTTTTACGGTAGTTCTCAACAATCTCCGAGTGTTTCTCATATTTGACTGGCTGCTGTTAGTCCATGATTTTCTCCACACTCCCAGTGACATTAAGAAACAAGCTAATGTTACCCCTTCTCGCCACCGGAATTCTAGCAGCGAATCTGCTGTAGTTCCCAAAACTGTGAAGAGTGGAGTAGTTACCAGACGGTCTTCCCTTCCTGTGTCCACTGAAAAGCACTTGGAGGTCAAGGTCAATGTAACAGGTGAGTATTCATAGGTGTGAGCCACTGCTCTGAGTTTAAATGTTAGGTTCAGTGTGTTGCAGGGTGACTTTCTATTGCCTTTCATTTTTTGACATGAGCACTTATACATTGGAGTCTTTCATAGACCAACAACAGTAAACATCGACGTCCCTGACCTCTGTGTGTGGGTGTGAACTACCTGGCCTGAAGTGAAGGCTTCATGGTCTCTTGTCTCTTTCCTCTGCTCACCTAATGCACATCCCAGCTTGAGTGCCACCTGGGCAGTGGTCTTTCCCCCCCAGTGTTAAAAACCTGCTTCAATTTACTGTTTGATCTTTAGGGCCCCAACAGATGTGCCTTACTGAGTTTGGGCAAGTTTGGTATGTGAAAATTTCATTTTATAATAAGTGAGGGGATTGTTTTCTCTTTACAAAAAGAATATATATATTTTTTACGAATAGATTATTATGGTTTTTGTTAACTAGTGAACTACTCTAGTACATCTGTATGTGTTTGTGTATTTATTGTTTGTGGTATTCCCTATGAACTATTCAATGGGTTGGAAGCAGCTAGCATTTTAAGTGGATTTAGTTTTGAAAGATCACTCTATCCATGGTTTTTGATGAAGACACACAGTATATAAAGCAAAGTAAATTTGCCATGTACACATGAGTAGGAAACTGTAGGTACTAATTTCAAAAATCTCTACACTGGATTGTTCTTCGTTCTTTGAAAACAACTTGAATGGCTACATAGATGATATAGTGTCCAGTGCTGCCTGCCCAGCGTTCCTATCTGAATCTACTTCCTGGGATTTTAAAGCAGGTCATCGGTTGGAGGAGGGATGATTCCCTGAGCTTCTGAATATGTTAGTCCTCCCAGGAGACCTAGATTAAAAACACGTTCTAAAGAGAGAAACTGCACTGCAGTCTCTTCTGCCTGGGCAGGCTCTGCTGGCTCAGCTGTGCCTGGCCAGATGCACAGAATTGTCCACGGTGACCGTGAAGGAGAGAGAAGGTGGACACCCTGGAGAACAGGTCTGACGGTCACGTCCCTCCCGGTGGCCACGTGTTGCCTAGTTCCCGGCAGCCTGGTGCTTCCAGCCTCCCACTGGGGCGTGGTTAACGGTGCTCTCCTTGCAGGTACAGAGTTTGTGGTTGTGGAAGATGTGTCCTGCTTCGACACCAACGCCATTATTCTCAAAGGCACCACAGTGCTTACCTACAAGCCCCGATTTGTGGATCGCCCCTTTTCAGGAAGTTTGTTTGGTATCGAGGTAAGAAGCTTATGAGTTGATCGAAAGACTACATGTTTGGCTCAAGAGAAGAGCAGCTGGAAGAGACTTTGACCTCCTAAGCTTTCATTAGGAGAAATAATGAGCAGACCTGGAGGATCCCTGCCCTCTTTTTGTTTTCTCCTCAAAGCTACCGGCTTATTCTGATGTGTGAATTGAGTCCTCCAGTGTCAGGCCGTGTATGTGTGGAGGGACTTTACCTCCTTCTTACACCCTCCTTCCTCAGAACGTCAGGCTCCCCGGTACCCAGCCGGGCTCCCTGCTGTGTCCTCTGGTTCTGCAGGCCGAGTCCTTGGCACCTTCGTGAAGGTGGGGAAGTGGCCCTCATTTCCCCTGCATCCCTTCCCCACAGTGACTGCTTGTCTCTATGAAGACGAGGGCTTCGTGGTCATGGAAATGTAGTTATAAAGGTGTGAAGAGTTATAGGAATATCTGATCTATAAAAGGGCAGCTCTGGAGAGTCATGCATTACCTAAAGGAGTGAATAGTGCTGCCCCGGCCCTGGTTAATCTCCTGAACGAGATATGCATTGAAGTGGCCTCTGTAGCCTGGAAATTATATTGTACAATATTAAATAAAAATGCTTTCCTCTTTGTAAGCCAGGGCTCGTGGAGAAAGAAGGGGAAATGAGGCAGATTATTATCTCTATTAAAAGTTCTTCATTCCCTGATCTCGGCTAACATTCCTCTTGTTATAAGTGCTACAGTATTGGGTCAGAGTTACTCATCATCTCCTTTCCTTTCACGACTGAACTTTCCGCGCCCTATTCTTTCCAGTGATATCGTTCAGAAGTTGATGAGCAAAACTTATTTTCACTGTCAACCGCATATGGTGCTTTCCCCCCTCTGGTCAGATATCGCTGATTAAAACCTGTAGAGATTTCACTTCTTGACCACTTGTTTTCTCTCCTGTAAAGAAACCTCAGTTTGAGAGGAAGGATTTACATGCTGGTGTGATGTGAGTTGATCATGAAATTGCAATTCATCTGCTTTCTAAGCCACCACAATGCCAGCTTTGAATGGAAACTCTTGGTGATTGATTAATGAACTGTTAGGTACAATTGGGTTTTGTGTAGCAGAAGCCCCTGCAGAAAAAGGGAAAACGAAACTCTCCTGCTCCAGAGCCTTAGAACAACTGCACGGCGCAGTGTTTGAGCTTCCTGGAGACTGCTTGCCGTCCTGTTCTCCAGGCAGCATGGTGGAATCTGAGCTGTGAGCCCTGCTTGGTACAGTGTCGAACTTAGAAAGAAAGCAAAGTGCGTTAATTTTACATATAGCGAAGGACCCCGGTATCAGACCTGTTTTTCAGTAGCACTAAGAAATGTCAGAAAAGCTCAGGGCAAGGAGCAAGGGAAACCAACATGAATGCTTTCCTCTTCTGTACTTTTCCTGAGTGTGCGGAATAATTTGATCTTAGAATAGGAGTCCTCCCTCCCTTCTCTTCTTCCTCCCCAGAAATAAAACATATTTTAAAGCTTTTTAATAGAACATTTCAAACACGTACAAAGGAAACACTAATATAATGGACCACTATGTAGATCTTAGAATAGGAGTCCTCCCTCCCTCCCTTCTCTTCTTTCTCCCCAGAAATAAAATATATTTTAAAGCTTTTTAATAGAACATTTCAAACATGTACAAAGGAAACACTAATATAATGGACCACTATGTAGCTGTTACCCAGCTTCAGTAATTAATGTAGTTATTTTTAACTATGAACGGAACAACTATAGTATATAAAATTGGGGCAGGGGAGGGAAAAACACCTATCCCTCCATAAATAATCTCTGTTGATATTTCATTGTGTTTCTTTCCTTAAAGTCATGGTGTAATCATTATTTATTGGGCTGCATTTTCACATAACCTATGTTGTGACTATCTTCCTGTATTTCATACGCTCTTTTTAACTGTCACTTTAAGTGGCTGCAAAATATTCCATTGAGTAGCTTTGCATATTGAGTGATTAAACCTTGATTGCTCTTTTAAAATTTATTATTATTTTTTAACCTTGATTGCTCTTAATTGTTCTTATTAGCTATTAAATAATGGTTCAGTGAATTTTTCTATATTTTCTATATTATTTCGTTAGGCTAGTTCCTAGAAAGAAATAGGGTTGTTGGCTTAAAGGGTGTGAGAGTTTTAAGTCTTTTGTTACGTGTTGCTAAACTGCCTTTCACATGAACCGCTGAACATGCTGTGGGCAGTCGGGAAGTACCAGCCTCACTCCTCACAGTATTTCAGCAGTTGTTATGGGTGTTGCTTCTGAGCTCGTCTCTTTTTCAGCTGATGGTCAGGCTCTTTCTAAATCAGACATTAATTCTTAGCATATTACATTTTATTCTCTAGGTGTTTTCGTGCCGACTGGGGAATGAACATGATACGGCTCTTTCAATCGTTGATCCAGTACAAATTCAGGTGGAGCTGGTGGGGAATTCTTCTTATCAGAACAGCTCAGGACTGATGGATGCGTTCAACAGCACAGATTTCCCACCGATCCTGGAGGTAATGATGAACACCTGTGACATGCTGATGCACTCTCACACACGTGCCTGAGCTGGGACTATATGCCTCTGCTGGGCCCAACAACATTTTAGGTCCTTCAGCAACAAAATACAAATAACAAACATCATCTCTGTCCTAAGATCTTGCTGTCTTGTGGAGGATGAAAGACCTTTTAATTGTCTAGTATAATCTTGAAGTTCTATAAAGGTTTATGGAAAGCACAACTCCACACAGGTAGGACTGTTGGTTGTGAGTGGAACTCCAAGTCAGGTGAATCTGAGTGGAGGGGAAGGTATATAGGCAGAGAGGGAGAACATTCCATGTTAGGAAGCCCTGAGGTCAGGGGTGCACATGGCTCAGCAAACGTGAGACAGACAAGTCTCGCTAGAACAAGGAGGCATGTAGGGAACCGAGGAGGAGGAGGATGTATGGTGAAGCAGGGAGGGCGAGGCCCGGCAAGGAAGGCCTAAGAATTTGATGTTTTATTTCTTTGGTAGAGGGGGAATAGGAGCCTGAAAGAGAGAGAAAAGCAATTCTGATGTTCAGTCTTTAAAAAAATTAAAAATAAGTAAATAAAGCATCATACCCAGACATTTGAACAGTCATCCCATTTTTAAAGTGGGTAGGTGTCGTCTGTATGGCTTTTACTAGTGTTGGCTGTATTGCTAATCTCTGAGGAAGACCAGAGATATTAGGAAATATTCATGTGGAACTTGAATCATTTTAGGTTCTGTTTGAATAAAGAAGAGATACTTCGGTTGGTCATTTTGTTTCAGAGATTTTAAAAAAATAGATCAAAGCAAAATGGACTCACAAAATGTTGCTAATAGGTGATCTTATCTCCCCTACAGCCAATCTTTGATCCTCTGCTTTAATGATTAATGTTCTTGTATGAAAGCCATCCTACGCCTTCCCTCCTGGCCATTAGTGCTTAATATAGTGAGCTTTCCAGTTTTCAAAATGAGAAATGTCGTGTCTTTTGGACCTCTGAAACTTGGATTAGGGAATTGTATCTGTAAGAGGTGTAGATGCAAAACCAAACTTTAAAACCTGCCACCGTTTTCATTTTGACAGATTCAGTTACAAGCCCTGGATATCAGACTCTCCTATAATGATGTTCAGCTGTTTCTTGCCATTGCAAAATCCATCCCTGAGCAAGCTAATGCTGCAGTGCCCGACACGGTGGCCTTGGAGGCCAGTTCCGTTAGCAGTGGCCTTTCTGGTTCGACTCGAGTTGGAGAGGAAATCAGAGAAGGGACAAGACATACCTTAGATCCTGTCTTGGGTAGGTGTTTAACTTTAAACCCACTTAGTCTTTCTAATAACTTTCCTTCTGTTTACTTTTAAGATTTTCTTTTAACACACCTTAATTGTTCAGAGTATAATTGTATGTCATTAAGTATAATTGGGAGCCTAAATATGCTTCTCTATTTTTTAAAAATTTTAGCACCCCAAACCAACTGTTCTAGCCTATCTATGTTTCCTTTTGCAATATTCTCTGGAGTTATATGGAAAATGCTAAGGTTTGGTTTTAAGCTTTGAGTTTTCTTTCAAAGTTATGTAGATAATACTAAGTTTCAGTTTTAAACTTTTTAAAACACAATCAATATACAGAAAAAGGCTCCTATAATTTTCAGGGTACACATGACAAAAGTCTAAGTAGCCCATTTTTGCCTAGAGAAATGAAATGTTTTAGTCACCAGTTTCTGTATTTTTTCTTTTTCCTTAAATTAGTCTATGGATTAATTAACAAAGATATTAATAAAAATCCTGTACCCCTTTTTCTAGAGTTACAGCTGGCTCGACTGCAGGAGCTGGGATTCAGCATGGACGATTGTCGCAAGGCTCTTTTGGTGTGCCAAGGTAATTACTGTGTCTCCATAACTCCGCTTTATCTTTCTCTCTTCTTTCCTCTCCTTCAACGGATGTCATAGTAGAGGAAAGATGGCTTCTGGCTTTAATACATAAAAGGTGTAATAAAATGAGTGGAAGACATGCAACAAAGAGGGCCTTGTTATATGCTTAAAAGCAGAATTCCTGTTATTATGCAATTTTTTCTTTTTTATGTCTAAGAATACAGCTGGATCAAGGTTCTCTTGGGTTGTCCAGTAGGTCCCCATACACTTTCTCTACTTCCTCTGTGAGTTGCTTGAGTCGCTGTGGGAACTGGTTGAACTGATCCCCTTTTAATTTCTTTGCAGGCCAATTAAAAAAGGCAGCAAGTTGGTTGTTTAAGAATGCCGAACCTCTGAAGTCTCTTTCCCTGGCCTCTAACAGCCAAGAGAGCCAGGGGACCGCACCAGCTCATTTGATCTCGGGCGTGGAGATTAAGGCTGAGAGTGTGTGCATCTGCTTCATCGATGACTGCATGGACCGTGACGTTCCTCTTGCCGAGCTCACCTTTTCCCGTGAGTGTTCTCCTGGTTTCCAGACTCATCTTGAAGATTTCCTGTGATTGCTGAATTATTTGGGGCCTTTTTGTGTTATTCATGCCCTCTACTTAGTTGTATGGATGGATATTTAGATAATGGTTTTACATATGTTCTTCATTATTTGTATTTTAAAGAAATGTGTATTTATTTGCCATATGTGGCCTTCAGCCTATAGCTGTGGAATAATCAAAATTGTCATTGACAAAATTTCTGTTATATTAATAGCTCTAGCTAAATTATTCCTGATCTGTTCTAAATATCTTTTGAAAATAAAAAACACAGTCCTAGTAGAGTCCCCTTCATAGGGCAGGGAAGAGGTGAAGTTTGTACAAGGGACTAGGGTAGAAGTGCGTTAGCCTAAGTCCCGCCATTGTAAACGGTGTTCCATGCGGCTGCTGCAGAAAGTAAAGGAACCTCTCCCTGCTGTGTTTACTTTTAATTTTCCATTGTTTTGATCTTGCTAGCCTCTAGTCCCTTCAAAGAAAATTGGTTCCGGGGATTTAATTTGACCTTTTGCCCGTTGTAGAGGTTTTCCTTTTCCTGTGCTTCTGGGCACTTACAAGGGCCACGTGATTAAAACTAGCAACTGGGACTTGGACTGTTTCCATGAGTATCTTTTCTGCAGAGCACCATTATTCCTTATTTTTCTATGGTAATCTTAAAAATTTGAGCTAATATTTATCAGGACATGACTGCTCCTATCACTGTACCTTCTTGTAAGATACTCAGTTAGAAATGTTTTTATGTCCCTACAGGCTTCAAATACACCTGGGTTCTGGGCCTGCCTGGGTCTGGTACTGGAGGGAGACAAAGGAGGCATTTACTTCAGTCACAACCTTTAAAGGGTGCCCAAAACTCAGTAATGAAGAGAAATGGTATTTTAATGCAGTATTTTAAAAATCAGAAACCATGCAAAGAACTCTGCGATGAACAAAGTATCAGATTTTTATGTGCTTTCTTGTGAGATCATCAGTCTTAGCTGGGCCTGGGTCTGGTACTGGAGGGAGACAAAGGAGGCATTTACTTCAGTCACAACCTTTAAAGGGTGCCCAAAACTCAGTAATGAAGAGAAATGGTATTTTAATGCAGTATTTTAAAAATCAGAAACCATGCAAAGAACTCTGCGATGAACAAAGTATCAGATTTTTATGTGCTTTCTTGTGAGATCATCAGTCTTAGCTGTAACTAACTCTCTAAAGGGCTTTGTCTGCAAAAGAAAGTTTTGGTCGTTTCGCCGCGGCTCTGAAGTAAGCTTTGCTTTCATTGCAGGTCTGAATTTTCTGCAGCGCGTCAGAACGAGCCCTGAAGGCCACGCCCACTTCACCCTTTCTGGAGATTATTACAACCGGGCTCTGTCAGGTCAGTGTAAGCAGAGATGATTGTGGGACTTCACACAAATATTTGCCTGGGCCTATTTCTACATAAATTTTACATGAGGGGAACGGGGGTGGGCCAGGGCAGGGAAAGATAAAACAAACAAGTGACTACATAAGCACAAAAGATAGAGGTTTTTCCTTTTTCTAATTCAACTGGATTATTTAAAAAGGTGTTTTGATTAGTTAAGTCTTTTTGACCCTGAAGTTCGATGTATTCTAGAACATGAAATTGCTCAATAGTGAAGGATCATTTGGCTGGCCTGGAAAGTAGCTAAATTTCCAAGGAGATTTATGGCCATAATCATTTTAAATTTCAAGCCTCCTCACTCCCTGCTGGACTTGTTTGTTTTATTAGAAGAGAACTGAGTCAGTGATCGTGTCTAATCTGCCATAGCTACTCCCTAAAGTAAAGCACAGTTCATCAGAGCAGTCTCTCCTTCTGGAGTCAGAAAGCCTGCATATCCTGCAACGCATTTCCAGGGTCTTTCCTTCCACGGAGAGACCAAGCTAAGGGCCTAGACCAGTGGTTCTCAACCTTCCTATTGTCGCAACCCTTTAATACAGTTCCTCATGTTGTGGTGACCCCCAATTTCATTGTTACAAATTGAACATAATTAAAGCATAGTGATTAATCACAAAAACAATATGTAATTATATATGCGTTTTCCGATGGTCTTAGGCGACCCCTGTGAAAGGGTC